ACCTAGCTGCATACGGTATTTCAATCTCCCAACTTATTCGATACTCAAGAGCATGCTCCGAGTACGATCAATTCTTAAACGTGGCAGGCTACGGAATGTTCCGTCTGCCTGATCAATACATAGGGCTCACGGCGGGTGTGACTATTTAACAGGGAATGCTAACTCCTCCAAAGCACCTGATCCCATCTCTGAAATTTCCAGTGCTCCATGTTTTATACCCCCTTCACAGATTTGTATTGTTTCTTTTGGAGATCGATCACTGTTCGTTATCTTCACCTTTTTCATTTAGCTGATGATTTCTACAGAACTCCTTTGCATTAATAGGTAGATGATTGAGCAACTGTTCATTTCCTTTTTAACGAGGCAAATTCTGTCGGTACATCTAATTGGAATCGTCTCTCGTGTTGTAGTTTTACAGTAGGTTTGAATTGGACAATCGAATTTTAAAATTCGCATCAATTCAATAATCAGAAATGCTTTTTTTTCTCTACAACTTTAATTGGTCCTTTCCATTGCATCAAGAGTTTATCACCAGCCGTGAATAATCTGTTCTTTGTCTTTCTGTCCTAATTGCTCTTGTATCTTGATTTCTGAAGTTATTTTTTCAAAAGTTCACATGCGCTTGATGTCAATCCTTCGGATTCAAGCAGCACTATACATTCATTGACTGGGTTCGAGGGCAAGATGCGTTTTGTCGGACACGGCCTCGGGCAAACAGTTTGGTTCGAGGGGTCGGCAGAGAACACAGTCAATAAATGTTTTGTTATACCTTTTATGTACTTTTTTATTTATTTTTTTTTTTTGACATACATGTATGTCGAACCAAGGAATGCAAATGAGATTTAGCTGACCCCGCCCATTATATGACGTAAGCTGCCCAACATCTCATCGACAGGTCCAATATCTCACCCCGCGGTCAAACATCGATTTTTTTATGCCCGCTCCGTAAAACATTGGAAATGTTAGACTTATATTAGTATTGATTTATATAGGAACACATTTTTAAAGGTATAACAATGGTAAGTGCTTTTTGACAGTTGCACGTTTTGGTCCATAGCTCTTTTAATAAAGTCGCTGGATCCGTATCTGTTCTATACCAAACAAAATCCTTGTTGTGAAAATGTAACATGATTTTTTTTTGTCGAATAGTCTCATTTTACATGACGAGCTTAATCTCATTTAACACTAAGTTTAACCATCTGTGTCCTTTTCCTCTGAAGCATAAGTATTCCTAAAAGGAAAGTCAGGAAATTCAAAACATTTGTTTATAATTAATGTCATTTTGAAAAATTTAACATTTACGCCTTAAGTTTGACGCAGCGCCAGGCACGAGAATTGAATCAGTGATCTCCCAATCACGAAGTTACCTACCCCGACCGGTCTTTGATACTCTGAAGCTCTATTACGGAGCATTACTCTAGAACTTTTACATGTATTTAGAATTTGAGCTTTAATATCTCTAAAATTCTAAATCAATTACGGCGATTTTTGAAATTATACTTGAATATGCAAATAATCATATAAAATATGTGATCAAAATTAATAGAAATTATAAAATCAAGAAAATCAAGAAAATTTCATTTGGAAAATACAACAATTTGAATTTCATAGTGAAAATACCCTGATTTTAAACTATGGAGAGATATTTTAGTTGCTATGGCTAAAACTTTGATACTTTGATTTACTATATCTACTATAATAGATACTTTGATTAACTATCGTAAACTTTCTTTGAATGTATTACTCTAAAGTTTATTAGCGTATTTTTGTAATGGTTACTTTTTAGTATGAAGGCACTTATCTCTAAGAACCACGGGTATAGTCATAAAATTCAAAGAAAGAACAAAAATATGAAAATGAAATTTCCAACAACTATACACATAAGTTTTAAGGCTACTGGCCAGAGATTGACACTTGAGCCAAAATGATTTTATAGCTCAAAATATACGAAGAGCTTACATAATCAAAGACATATCTCGTATTTCAAGTTAAAATGTACTTCCTTAAGTCTAGGCAAGCCTGAGTAATTAAATCTCAAACGAAAGTTTCATAAACAAGTAGGGCACTTGAATGTGAGTTGTAAAAAATCTATTAAATATTTTTTTTTCTTCCAAATTCTCTTTGCAGAATTTATTTTACTTACATTTTGGCCAGTCCACCGAGTGACCACTGAGTGCTGTATATCATACTAGACAGCTGGTGTGTTTATCAACAGGCAGTATCAGTAGGTAGGGGGCATCGCGTACCAGATACCGCCATTTTACTGCCATAAGACCTGACCCTTGTGGATGAGAATCATCACTTGATAGATATCGCCAGCCCTCTACCATGTCCCTCAGGAGTCTTCCATTGGTAACTCTAGTGGTTACTTTATTCCTTATACAGGCCACGGAAGGTAAGACAAGGGTTGTTCTATTATCCCTGGGTTGCTGATCTATTTGACACTTTGTTAAGGAGGCTGGGGGGTCAACAAATTAACCATCAGATAAAACTTAATTTTTTAGATATGATATTATAAGCTGTCAACTATCATTTGGCAAACAAAAATTTCATACATTTTAGTTTTAAAATTTGATCATTTTTATATATTTTTATATGGAGCTCTTCTTCTAAAGGAGATCAATATAGTCTGAAAATGGCCACAATCAACCAGCGAAGATGCAACTATTTTAATGATAAATTGCTTTTTTAACTCAAACTTTCGAATTCAGTACAGTAAGAAAGAATTATATAGCATAAAGAAAAAGCATTAAAATCCTTTGTCCTGCGTTTTAGTTTTTGGTGAGTAGGGGTAGGGAGTGGGGGGAGGGAAGATTGGGCTGCGGAGACACTTTTGGGGAGGTTATGACAATATTAGAAATTTAATTACGTCCAATGGTATATCTTACAATCTATTAAATTTTCTTGTCCAGTATCGTCATTTTCAACAAGGTGTTAAGACGATTTGAGTAAATTTTAGCATTTTAATCATAAATAACGTCCATGGGCCATAAAGCTCACCAGTATTATTTTCCTTCCTGTGTTTTTAGCTATTTGTGTGTATGTTTTTGTTGATGATATCGCAGTTCCTGAAATTTTAAACTGATGACCAGGGATATTGTACGAGAAGAGGGCGACATTTTGTGTATCAAAAACAAACATTATGTATATTTTTAGTTGTTTCTTCAAAAATGTCAAATAAAATCCTATGGATCGGTTAGAATGTGACTTTTTTGTACCATTTGTTTTTCAACCTTTCAATTAATTTCAACAAATTTCTTATCAGAAAAGATTAAAAAGGGGCACCTGATTCCTCTGATTCCCTTTGAGGTCCGTGTACGTCCTTCCGATTTGTATAGTTTCAAGGGAGCTTGGAGCTTCTATTCGTTGTCATCATTACCAATCAAAGAAAAAAACATTACAATAGAGATTATTTGACACAGATTGCTAGTTATACGCTGTCAAATAACTTACATTGCTCTCCGTTTCTACTGAGTGGTGTTAAAAATCAAATGAATGAAGATAATTTTAGGAACAATCTTTTATTAAACAAAAGCCCAAAAGTATAATGAAATATTAGCAAATAATACCTATCACCTGGGTCGTATTTTGGCTGACATGTTTCATACTAATTGTAAGGCCTTTGTTTTTATACCTAACTTTATTAAGGAATGGTTGGTCTACATGATCAATATTAGGGCTCACGACCGTTATAACCAGTCAACAGGGGATGTTTACTCCTTCTAGGCAGTCTGTACCGTTCTTGGCTTACAAAGTCATTTTCCGTATTGCAAGTTATATCCCAACTAGGTTTTCTTGACATCGGGTTGTACCTTTGTCTGTTTCGTAAACTTCATGTTGTATTTTAAAGCGCACGTAGTCAATTTTTTTAACTAAAGGTCATATTTAGTATACATAGCTTGTGTCAATGAATTATTTTGATATAGATATAAATCACTCTAGTTAAGTAAGTATACATGTCTTTTCTTTTTTTATTTTAAATTTAAATGGTCTGCACTTTTTATTTCTGAATGTATCCTAAGTTTGCTTAATCTAATTTCTTTTCTTAACTTACATAATCTGTTTTTTTTTTTTACTCGATGCTATATCGTTTTTTGATAAGTCTGTTTTTCTGAATGAGCTTTATATGTTTTTTTATAATTACTTACGATTATATAAGTGTGTGTGTGTGTTTTCTTACGCTTTGTTGTAGAGATGACAAAATTTATAACATAGATACTGATCTTTCATTTCAAATTTCAATTTAACTTTCTTAAGGTTTCATTTGTATATCCTATTTATTTTGTCTCTTTTCTCGATTCCGCATTATATATATGACTCCCTTTATCTCATCTATCCGTTTCATAGCAAACAAATTACATTCAAAGTTTACCTTGTTTGTTTCTTTGACCCCAGAATAGTTTTCAAGTTAATGTTGCCTATTTACTGGATTCCATGTTAAATCGTAAGTAGGCACCCTTTTTTCTGGACTCAAGCTTTTACTTCATTTAGACGTTGTTATTGTTTATATTATAGATTTCTTTGATTCATCAGTGTTAACGTTAACTGTTTTATACTCTGGAGTATGCTCTGAGTACAATCAATTTTAAGACAGAGACACGCTACTGAAAGATAAGTTGATGTTACAGGGATGTCAACAACCTCGTTTTAGGTCAACATTACGTTAATTCCATGGTCGTTATAATGACATTGTAAGCAAATATAACCTATTAATGGGTCGTACTTACATATTTCATATCAATTGTTAGACCTTCGTTTTTAAACTGAATTTGACTACTTTGAATGTTTCGTCTACCTGATCAATAAAAAAGACTTACGTGGACGTTACAGGTCAACAGGGGATGCTTACTCCTCCTTGGCACCTAATCTAGTGCTTGAATTTCCAGGGGTCCATATTTTATGCCCTATTTACAGATTTGTATTGTTAATAGATTTTATTTCAGATCGATCTCTGTTCGTTATCTTTACCTTTTGCTTATTAAAGGTTCCTTTGATTGCAGGTTTTACTTTGTCTAGACAAGGCGGATGTGCTCCTGTCAGTGTGAACTGCCCTAACGTCAAATACGACTTCTCCTCGGGATGTTTTGTTTGTACCGGTAAGAACAAGTTCTGATGATTGTTAAATACGACTTCTCCTCGGGATGCTTTGTTTGTACCGGTAAGACTGATTGCTTGTATGCTGTTTTACCTGCCATTATCATTTTTTTTCGCTCGTGTAGAAATGTAAAAAAAATAGTTTTGCAAAACTGTCATTATTTTAAACCTCTGTAAAATGAAAATATTCCTAAAAAGAAAACGGAGTACGTTAGAGAAGCTTTTTACTTCCCATCTTTATACTACCTCTTTTATTATAAAATTTTAAAGATTATTCAAACAGTAAATACAAATTATTTAAAAAGAAAGAAAGAAAAGAGACATTGTTATAACAATGTTTATATCGTGTTGGCATTATGGACACTACCCTGACAAAAACTGAATTTCGAAGGTTTATATCTTATAATCAATTCTTCTCATGGAATTCTATCATGAGCTTGAATTTATATATTGAACTATTTTACGGTTATTAATGCATTACATTTCACTATAAACAAAGTTTATTTATTTATTTATTTTACAATAAACATTCTAATCCTAAAGGTGGCGAAACCAATCAACAACAGCCTTCTGCAGCACCTGTCCCGCAGTATCTCAACCCAGTTAAGGAAAGTAAGATCTCACAATAACTCATGTAAAAAATAAATAAAGCATCTCACATAATAATGTATCTACAAAAGTAAAATAACACAGCTCCTCACATAAAATTGTATCTAACTCCGTAAAGTAGGACAATATCTCAGGTAAATCTACACAAGTAAAGTGAATCTCACATTAATATGTATCTCACATAGTAAGTTCTTACAAGATCTCAAGTAAAAGTAAAGTGGCACCGTATCTCACAAAATTATGTAATAAATTTACTAAAATAAGACATCTGAGATAATAATTCATATAACCCAGTAAATCGAGATCTACACAACCTCTCGCAAAAATCAAATAACATGGAGGGAAAATTTAAAACATCATGTCATTGTGTTACATTATATTTTTTAAATGTATATGCAATTCTAGGGGATATAGACAACAGAATAGGATAATTCATCTTTAAAAAATGTATGCATGCAAGGGCAATACATGGCAATTTACTTGAGTGTTAAAATAACAAATCATGAAATCAAGTCCCCTACATATTTATCATCATTGAATTGCCTTACTCACAATTTGTTGTAGTTTGTTAATTTCTTAAATCATAATGTTATTTTTTTTAAATTTGCATGTCTTTTATAAGAATATTTTTCAACATTATGATAGTCTTGAAAAAAAAATAGTTACAATTTATTTTTTAAAAAAAATACCCAGATTGCAAGGACAAAGGCCTTATGCTTCAACTCATGCTGAAGATTGATAACGATGGATGTTCTAACTGTGGATGTCCTAACTGTGGACACAGAGAACCAATGCCTATCAACAACGGATGGAATCCCATGGCTCATACAAATACATCCCCATCTTCTACAACGACCACTCCCCCAGCAACGACAAAGACGAACCCTCCTGAAACTACGACAGAGAATATTCCATGCCCCTGCAAAGACCCAGCTCATCATACAACAAGTTCTCATTCTACCACCAGTACAACTGCTTCGACTCCAGAAACCACTCCTATACCAACTACTACCACCTCTCAAACAACAACTACAGAGAAAACTACTTCAAAGACGCATCCTACTACAACATTGTCTTCCTCTACAATAACTACTCCTACTTCAACGATTTCAACGATTACTACTACAACGTCCAAAGCAACTTCAATGAAGCTAACTTCTACTTCGAAAAAGCCAACTTCTACTGTAAAAACTGTACCAACTAAAAGACTACATCGATCTTCAACGACGACAACCACCTCAACAAAGCCTACAACCTCTACAACCACTTCAACAAAGCCTATAACCTCTACAACCACCTCAACAAAGCCTACAACCTCTACAAAAACTCTACCTACTCACACTGCAGCAACTTCTCCAATTAAAAAGAGTACAACATCTAAAATACCTGTTTCATCCACCGCAGCTTCTACCTCAACTAAAAACTCAGCAACCTCGGCTTCTTCACAAGAGAGCAGCTCCTCTCATAACCACTCGAACAACAGCAATTCCAAACATGACAACGTCTCAAACAACAATTTAAATCAGAGTAACAACTTTACCAATAGCTCTTCTCATAGCAACACCTTCTCAAGCAGCAGTTCTTCTAGCAGTAGCTCTTCTAGCAGCAGTTCCTCTTCTAGCAGTAGCTTCTCTAGCAGCAGTTTTTCAAGCAACAGCGGCACCCAAAATAAGAACCAAACGCACGGCGGCCACCATCACAATAACCACCATCACAATAGCAAGCATCCAAACAATGGCACAAATTCTCACAGCAACACTTTCTCTAACAGTAGCTCATCCCAAAGCAGCTCGTCCAGCAGCAGCAGCAGCTTCTCGCAAAATAGCAACAATTCTAACAGCAGCCATCCTCTCAGCAACCACAATTCTCAAAACAACACTTCACACAGCAATCATCCTAACAACTTCTCTAACAGCAGTTCTTCCCAAAGCAACCATTACTCCCAAACAAACAGTTATTCATCAAATAACGGTTTTTCCCAGAATAACTTCTCAAACAGTAGCTCATCCCACAACAACCACGCCCAAAATAGCAGTTCCAACACAAACAATAGCAACTCGAATAACAGCTCCTCTAAAAATAACAACTTCTCCGGACACAATAATTCTTCAAATGGCACGAACACTTCCAACAAAAACTCATCAAGCACCATGAACACTTCTAAAAACTCCTCGAACAACACTAACACCTCCAGCAATAACTCCTCAAATAATATGAACACTTCCAAAAATAATTCTTCAAACAACATGAATAGCTCAAAGAACAACAACAACGCCAACACCATAAACAATTCTAACAATAACTCTTCTCACACCATGAGCACCTCAAGCAAAACCTCCTCAAGTAACATTAACAATTCCAAAAATAACTCAAGTAATACCAACACTTCCAGCAAGAATTCTTCAAATAACATGAACAATTCCAAGAATAATTCATCAAATAATATGAATACTACAAAGAATAACTCTTCTAACACCACAAGCACTTCCAGCAACAGTAACCAATCCAGCAGTTCTAACAACTCCAACATTAGTCAATCCCAAAAGAACAACTCTTCTAACAACAGTTTCCTAAAAACAACTACCCTTAAAACAACGACTACTACGTCGACAACGACTACTCCAACTACAACGACAACTCCCACAACAACAACTCCAACTACAACGACTACTCCTTCAACAACAACTCCAACTCCAACGACTACACCAACGACAACGACTACTCCCACGACAACAACTACTCCCACAACAACAACTACTCCCACAACAACAACAACTCCAACTACAACGACTACTCCCTCAACAACAACTACACCGACTACAACGACTACTCCCTCAACAACAACAACTCCCTCAACAACAACTACACCGACTACAACGACTACTCCCACGACAACAACAACTCCAACAACAACCACTACTCCCTCTACAACTACAACACCAACGACTACACTTAAGATAACTATGCCACCAGCATTAACAACTACACAGAAAATAACTGTACCACCCTCCCTGAAAACAACAACACTCGAGTCAACAACAACAACAATGCCAACAACCACAGGTAGGTCTAGACAGATAAAATTCTATATGATAAAAACCAAACAGTAAAAAGAACAATCGCAACAGTAAGATTATACTAGGTAGCAATATTAGGAAAGTAAGCGCTTTGAACATCGAAATCCATGTACAAAAAAACAAAACCCACGAAAATCTTCCATACCAAAATATATGTAATTTGTCTAGTGAAAACACACACACAAAATACAGCACAAAATCACTAAGGAACAAAACACGACGTATACAGTATCAACGCAAAAAGAAAAAAAACACTGTCCCAAATCACTGGCTAAGAATAAACAACATGTATAATCCTAAACAAAACTAATACATCACCAAATCACTTGGAAACAGTACACAACTGTTTACAACAAAAATTAATGCAGCACCAAATCAAAGAGGAATAAAACACAACGTATACAGTATCAACGCAACAAAAATAATTGTCACAAAATCACAACTATTTTCACAACTGCAACATCATACAGCAACATTACAAAGCAACACATTGATCAATCACAATCACAAAACACAGCACAACACTTAAGGTAAACGGTAGAATCAATAAAAAACTGCTGGTAAATAATTGCTGTATTACAACACGTCACTACAAGTTACTAACTACAGCAGCAAAACACAACAAACTGTAACACTAGAGATATATAATAACTGTAAAATACAACAAACTGTAACAATAGAGATAAATAATAACTGTAAAATACAACAAACTGTAACAATAGAGATATATAATAACTGTAAAATACAACAAACTGTAACAATAGAGATATATAATAACTGTAAAACATAACAAACTGTAACAATAGAGATATATAATCACTATAAAATACAACAAACTGTAACAATAGAGATATATAATAACTGTAAAATACAACAAACTGTAACAATAGAGATATATAATAACTGTAAAACATAACAAACTGTAACAATAGAGATATATAATAACTATTAAATACAACACATATTGTAAATAATCACACCAACCAAACATGTCATCATATGTTTACGTAATATTTCTTTCATGGAATTACCTCTCAGAAAGATTTCATCAGGATCATCTCACTGTATACTGTATTGCTATTATTTTTCTTTCTAGGTTGCCCGCCTTTCCCAAGCAACTGTCCGGTAGCGTGTGGAAGCTTTGACATGATGACTTTTTGTCCTATCTGTGACTACAGCCTGTGTGGTAGTAAGTAAATTTTAAAGTCCTTACATTTTGTCTTATCTGGGCTCACACTGATAGACATACAGAGGGAGAAACTTTTAATCCCTTCCGGTTTGGCCGTTAGATGGCAAACAATCAGTGCAGTGTAATTCTTTGATTCAGTAACGCTTCTTCCTACTTTAAAAGTTGAAGACAGTATCGGTTGTCCTAAACTCTTGGTTGTTTGTTTTCAGTGACACCGCCTCCTTCCGGTTGAGCAGCCATGTCCCGTGCTACATCCAACCATAAGGATTACAATGATACACTTATAGCTGTGACCAGTTTGATTGTACTAAGAAATAAATATTTGAAGAAAGATTCTGTTGAAATTTTTTAGGTACAAAAACATATATCCTAATACAAATGAATACGTAAGGATTGAATATAATTTGAAAAAAAACATTCTGAGCGTATAACTTAAGAACCAAGAGTCCGTTTCAGGTATATGTAGTTAAAGTTAAGCTCTCTAGTTCAAGAGGTCATAATTTCATCGAAAATCAAAGAAACGGAATGCTATGCAAAATCAATCCGAAACCTTTCAAATTAATCCAGTTCAATACCTGCATTGATATTGAATTATATTCCGGAAAATTAAGTGGTACAGACTGACTGACAGGGGTACAAACAGAAAGACGAAGAAAGAGGAATCTAAAGTGACCTACTGTTTAATCGGCGTGGGAGTTATAAAAGCTATCAATTTACGTATACAACCTTCCAACACGATACCAACACCGCAAAACAATACAGTTACAATAATTTCTTTATCAACGGTACTACCACCACAAGCCTACACAGGTACCATCAGCTCCTTGTTCACGGTACTAACACCACAAATTTATACATGTGTCATCATCTCCTTATCCAGGGTAATACCATCGCAAACCTACACAGGTACCAACATTTCCTTATCGTTTGTACCACCACCGCAAACTTTACATGTACAATCATCTCCTTTTCCACGGTACTACCACCGAAAACCTACACATGTACAAACAGCTTTTAATTGCTTCATACTATCAGCCAAATTCTACAACGTGTAATTTTCTAATGGTCACTTCAGAACCCCCCCCCCCCCCCCCCGCCAAAAAAAAAGAAAATAGGATCGTCCCGTCACTAGTTATAAGACTCAGAACAATAAGCCAGAAAGTCGGTTAAACAATTGATTATTTAAGAGCTTATAGTATAAAATCGTCTTTTGCAATGTGTAGTGCTAATACATATTCGTAATCAGTTCGTTATCTCCATATTTAACTATGATTTATGATCAAGAAAATATTTTCTCGGATTATAGTTAGACTAATCCACTGCTATACACTGACGTCATACATTGCATCTATTTTCATACTTTACCGGTTATTTTTTTCTTTATGCCTGCTTAGTTTCAGTTCCATTAGGTTTTGATTTAAAGAGACACACATTTGGTATCTGATAGGATTAGAAATATAGCATAGTCAGTCGCATGTGTACCATCTTTAAAATTGACCCTGTTTTACTATGGATCCTAAGATAAGAAATCGTTGAAAATATTTATGTTTCGAATTACTTCCATTATAGCATTGATTGTTTCCTATACAGTCGGGATAAGGGCGTCAATTTATTCATCTGAGGAGGAAAGTAATCGAGGAGAACGGATTTTGTTAAATGACCCGTCACTGTTTGACCAGCGACTTCAACAGATAGACAACAAAATCCAAAGTATGACGTCAGAAATTCAGAGCATGACGTCAGAACTCCATCAGACCACGCAAAACCTTCAAGATGTAACTATCAAACTTCAACAAGCAGAGGCGTCCATTAGTAAACTGATGCATTCCAGTGCAGGTGAGTACATTTATAGACTATTGATATTTAGGCAAAGAATTTTGACGCATAACATTTTGCTTTGTAAAGATTCTAAGACTACTGATACAGAAACGTTGTCTTTAATGCATCTTATTTAAAAGATGTTACGACTTCTGATACATAGGCAAACAAATGAACATATAAAGAAAACGGAAGACTTTGAACATGTGTATTTATTAAGATCATTTTACAGCGTTATTAGACAGATCATATGTAAAAATAAACACATTCAAGTTATAACGTCGATGTTTCCAATATAAATGTATAAAATATCTCAAGATTTTGTATTAAGAACTTGATTGATAAAGGTGCACTTTTGTTGCAGGAAACAATTTTAAATAAATTACATTCATAGTCAATTTTGTTATTAATTATTTTATCTATGTTATTGATTGGATAAGATTGAAATTGTAAATCTTGGGAGAATTGATGAAAGTTTTGTCCCTTAACTATGAGTATTCAAAATATTTATAGTCCTCTACCGACCAACAGGTTAAAAATGTCCCTTTTAAAAACTTTTCAGCATTCCGGAAAATAGATTTGGAAAATTCAACATTGATGATGAAATTTTCTTGAAAAAAAAAAATTAATTCAAACAAATCAAACTTTTTTATCCTAAAGTGGGAGAGGGCAAACTATCATTAATTTGAAAATGACTTTTATGTCCCTCACTTGATTCGATACGCAAGAGCATGCTCTACGTACGAACAATTTCTAAAACGAGGCAAGCTATTGACAAACAAGTTGATGAAACAAGGACATCAACAGCCTCGTTTGAAGTCATCATTTCGCAAGTTTTAAGGTGGATACAATGACCTTGTCAGAACATACAAGTTATCATTGATTCAAATGCCGACTGACGTTTTTCAAACAAATCATCAGGCCATTATTTATACACTAAGTTGTCTACGGATTTTTCCGATTTGTTTTCCGATCATGACCAAAAATGCAGGGCGGGTGTGACCGGTAGGCAGGGGATGCTCACTCCTCCATTGCACTTGATCCCACCTCTAAATTTTGAGGTCTATGTTTGCTCTGCTTTAAATTTATATTGTTTCGTTGGACTTTCGAGATTGAATACTGTTCATTATCTTCATATTTCATTTCATGAATTATTTTTTACTTTCAAATTATTGGAGAAACACTCGACATATTGCCTTGTAATCATTAACTTTATGTGGATACATGGTTACAGTAACGTTTTTATCTCTCAACATTTACATGATAAAAGTAATTTTAAGAGAGGTTAAGGTGACTCCAGTGATCGTTGTAGCTTTTGAGGATTTTTTGAACTGCCACCACAATGACTTGTGTAGATGTGGTGATTTTTATTACATCTGTCAAATATGATATTTGATAGGAAATAGCTTGTACTTGTCTCTTTTCAGGAAAATCTACTTATGTGAGGTGGGGAAAACATGGATGTGGTGACAATGCAACCTTAATATATACTGGTGAGACCAAAGCTCAAAGCTCTAAGTGAGTGAAAAAAAATGGCTTTTTAATAAGAATTAGTTAAAAGTGAGTAGTATAATAATTTCAAAAACAACTTGATAAAATCTTAAAGAGGAAATTATTACATCAGGGTGTGTTTTTTTTCTTGCGCAGGTCAGATAGGTGGTTCCGCCTATTCCCAAACTGGGGGCGCTGCAAACCCACTATGTATGTTGCACGATGATCTCTGGGGATCTAAAAAACCAGAAAACTACATGGCTGAAATTCGAGGTGCAGAGTACCAGGATGTCTTTTGGGGAAAACAGAAGTTTAGACAAGGACGTGCCATGCGCCGTGTGCTCGCCTATAGATGGCGCTAGTTTGTTAATGATCCCCGGAAGAAATAGATGCCTGCCTGGTTGGACAGAACAGTATCATGGGTATTTATCAGCAAACGCAAATACGCATCCGCATACTACAGCCTATATATGTGTCGACGAAAATGTAGAGTTTATGGATGGAGGTGCAGAAAATGACGAACACAGTTTCCTGATGTATGGTGTGCGCGCGCATTGCGGAAGTCTGAAATGTCCACCGTATGAAAACGGGAAACCCATAACCTGTGTTGTTTGTTCAAAGTAAATCTATTTAATAAAACAATTATGTAACATTGTGAGCGTCAGTTCCTAATAAAAATAACAATTAAAAAAAAATAATGATAACTTTGAAGTCGAAATTCTGTAACGATTTAAACTCAACACGTAATACAACTCTTCACATAATTTACTATGTTATTGATTGCTGAGTATTAACTTATTTGCAGTTGGATGCTTCCCTATGGAACGCCATAGCTGCCTTATGTGGTTTTTCATGAGAAGATGGTGCTTTATTATGTTATGCTGTGGTTATTTCATGTGAAGATGGTGCTTTATTATGTTATGCTGTGGTTATTTCATGTGAAGGTGGTGCTTTGTTATGTTATGCTGTGGTTTTTTCATGTGAAGGTGGTTTTTCATGTGAAGGTGGTCTTTCATGTGATGGTGGTTTTTCATATGAAGGTGGTTTTTCATATGAAGGTGGTTTTTTTTATGTGAAGGTAGTTTTTCATGTGAAGGCGGTTTTTCATGTGATGGTGGTTTTTCACGTGAAGGTGGTTTTTCATGTGATGGTGTTTTTTTTTTATGTGAAGGTGTTTTTTTTTATATTTAATGTGATGGTGGTCACTCGGAGCTCTTAATACTTTTAAAGACTGAGTTTAACACTGAGTTTAACTGCTATTATCTTGTTATATTATTTTAAAAGTGAAACAAATAGTCAATATAATTTAAATCATTTTAATACGCCATTGCTAGTTCCTCTTTTTTCCATAGGCACTTGGTTTCAGGATGGTGTATTTTGTGTATTATGTTTTTTTTCTAGCTATGTCTGCATTAACTCGATAACCTAAGAATAAAAAAAAATCACTGAAATAAGCAAGTTTTAAAAATGTCATATTACTTTATATAAAAAAGAGTGAAGGTACGACAGTTGCAATCTTCGATTTTACGTCGTGCCCGGCTCGGTTCATACTTGATTTTGATTTATCAATATCTACACTTTTCCTACCAGTTTCGGGCAGGAATTCGGATGAAATCTACATTTAAAAATGATTGAATAACGCCTTTCAATCGTCTGCCAATTCGAACTTGCTTTATAAAATATGCAATAAACAAAAACGTCCTGATACCTAGAACTGAAAGTAAAAGCAATGGAAATGACGATTTTTAACCAAGTAAAATGTAGAGGCGTCCCGGAATAACGAGAACAAGTTTGGCGCGGTTTCTGACTTCCCTAGATTTTCCGAAGATGGCAACTGTTGTACCTACTCTCTTACTATATAGACTAATATGACACTTTTTAAACATGCTAATTTCAGTGATTTTTTTTTATTTTTATGTTTTTGAGTGTATTCAGACACACCTACAAAAAAATCATTATACACAAAATACACCATTTTGAACCCAAGTACCTAGATGGAAAAAAGAGGAACCAGCAATGGTGTATTAAAATGATTTTAATTACACTGACTTTTTGTTTCACTATCAAAATTTCAAGATAATAGCAGGTAAATTCAGTGTTAAACTTAGTCTTCAAAAGTATTAAGAGTTCCGAGTGACCACCATCACATTAAATATTTTTTAAAAAAAACTTTCACATAAAAAAACCACCAACACTTAAAAAACCACCTTCACATGAAAAACCACCATCACATGAAAAACCACCATCACATGAAAAACTACCTTCACATGAAAAACTACCTTCACATAAAAAAAACTACCTTCACATGAAAAACCACCATCACATGAAAAACCACCTTCACATAAAAAACCACCTTCACGTGAAATAACCACAGCATAACATACCACAGCATAACATAATAAAGCACCACCTTCACATGAAATAACCCCAGCATAACATAATAAAGCACCATCTTCTCATGAAATAACCACATAAGGCAGCTATGGCGTTCCATAGTAAATACTTTCCGCAAATCGTTATTAAGCAATATAGACTGACGAACAGACTTATTAGTATTCTCCTACTGGCCTGTCCTCTTAGCTGCCTCTTACATTGTAACTATGCCGACTTGATAGAGCCTCGAAGGTGGGTGAATCCTATGAATCATGGGCCCATTCTGCAGATCCGGGAACTTGGGAATATCCTGTACTCTTCACTTAATTAATTTCGTTAAAATCATTCTACTACATACAGCGAGTTAAGATTGATGCAAAGCATCAAATCGACCGCTAAACTGAATCATTTTAAAGTATTTTCACTTGAAAGAGTTCAAGGAAAGCAGAAAATTTTCAAAGTAGAGAAGTATAATTATTTCTATTTCAAACCTGTATATCAGAGAGCTAAGAAATAGCAGAGTACACAGAGCTAGCACGTACCACTAGGACTTTAATTCAAGTGCATTTTCAAATAAAAAAAAAACATTATAAATGATATGAATGTTTTATCACAGAAAATCAGATCTCTTGGATAAACCTTCCACGTGCAAATACCTTTAATTTTTGCCACATGGTAATACCGATGATTGCTGAACGGCAATACAATCTGAAATGCAAAGTGTGGGGGGAAATTTAATGTCATTCGCAGTTGTAGCATATTAAGAACAAATTTCACACGGTTTTCTAATTTTTCAATTTTTGTTTATCAATTTTGAAACTCGTAACGATCTTACTCCAATGTGGAGAGTACCTCTTGTAAACCCTTTTTATAAAATTATCAAATTTATAAATATCTAGTGAGAAAAGAAAAGAAAATTGAAAAGTAATAACAACAATTAGTTCTTAAAATAAAGGAAGTTTTTGATTTATTTCACCACAGGAGTTCGCGTATTTATCAATTAAACCGAAATTTTCAGTAAATAAAAAAAATACGTAATACCTATAATAACAAGAAAACATTGATGTAACCATCAATTGTCGCCCGGGAACAACGGAAATGAGTCTTGATCATCAAACCGCTTCGATATGTGTGAAAAAGGCATGCGTCTAAATGATGGAGACGATAGTCGAGAATATTTTGAAAACTTATAGTCGGGTGAAAATCGAACAAAAACGATACCCTTTTAAACTTTATCAATTCCTCAAGTAAATGTTGGCTGCATAAAATATAAATTGAAACCAGACACGTGCATCACCTATTTTCAAAAATGTCTATCACTTTAAGAATATAAAACACGAACTGTGTAAAGTATGTTTTTACGTTTTTATGCGATAAGTAAAATTCGATGTTCTAAAAAAGGGGACCTGTCGTTTTTTCGATAGTAAATGATAAGCAACTTTATATAATAAATATGAAAAACATATATATTTTTACAGATTCACTTTAAGGAAGTAAATATATTGTGTATCTCGTAATTTATAAAGGGAAAGAACATTCTGATTAACAATCTTTTTACTGTTTAGAAAACCTTTAATTCTGAATAACTTCTCCCACCTCAATCCCCATATACCAACACTTAAACTTATATGTATAGAGCAGCCCGGTCCTCCGGGCTGCAATAACACAAGGAGTGCAACGCATTCCAGGTCACCGGGGAATCCCTCTCTTAATATCGAGGCTGCCGCGCAATCAATTTTCAATCGAAAATTATAAAACACAAACCATTCTTTTCGGAAGGAACCATTCTTTATGTTAATTCATATGATTTGAAATGCCTGTTTAACAACAGTAGCAGTGACATTTCTCATCGACTTCGCTCAAACGTTGGTTGTCCGCGACGCCATTACGTGACGTTATAATGGGTGCGTTGATTTACCCCCCAAAAAAAACGCCAGAGATGAATAATAATATGGAAATTTAGATAATTTAAGGTTATGTACGATATGAATCTTCTACAAACCAATTCAACAGTTCTCCGTTTTTACATACAGGTGTAAATAATGTGAAGAATACAACGTACAAAATGATACATGTAAGAAATCAAAATGAATTACATGTACTTCCAGTAGACAAATGATTTGAACGTAACAGGGAAATGTTTTGAGCAGTGTCTTTCTCCTAAGAGATAATTATCATTTCCTTTTGACATTCGAAACATCATTTCAAAAAATGCTTTGGGCACTTTTTGATATTCTTGCATGAATTGTGCGAGGGTCTGTACATGTATTTGTAAAATGAATTATTTAATAATGTAACACTGCATGCATGTGAACAAAATTGTGAGTGATAAAGTTCAATAAAAAAAATCATATATCCCCCCAATAAATAGAAGTAAAATGGAAGCGCACGTCCAGCGATTGAACAACCCTTGAATATCAACCCCCCCCCCCCCCCGACAACTTGTACGTCAACATTGTATTAAATACATCCCACATATATAGATGCTTATAAAATGGCCTCTTTTTTCTTGTTAAAACAACAGACAAATAATGATCAGAAAAGCTTACTTGAGCCTTCTGCTTAGGTGAACATGAGCACAAATTATAAGTGTTACGTTTTTTTTTTTTTTTAAAATAAGTATTTAATAGGTTTTTTTATTTTTAGTAATCTGAAAACACACTGTATTTTTCATTTTGTTTGTAACATGGTTGTATGCCAACATGTTTGGTGAATCAATGAATTGAATTGAATTGAAAATACTAAAAATTTCGTTACAATTGATGGGTACGCCATCTTCCGTGATAGTACTGATTAAGTTCTCAAAGTATACGATTGTTGAATAATCTTTTCGTTCTTCCTTTTTTTACTTGTCAAAGATTTCCTCGCCAAAATTGAAGACACATTAACTTGGATTGGAACCCCCCCCCCCCTCTACTTCCTGCTTTCAAGTTTTTTTAACACCTTAAACGTAATCTAGTATTAATATATGCTTAATTTTTAACATACT